CACACACACACACACACACACACACACACACACACACACACACACACACACACACACACACACACACACACACATGAAAAAGTGATACCAAATAAAATGCCTTCATAAGGTAATAAGAAAAATATTTGATATTTTTATAAAAGCAAACATATTTTCATGTTTAGTATATAAGTTTTATAATACATTTGCTCGAAGATATACTTCAACAAAATGCGAGAATGCTCAATACTTTTTTCATATTATATATTATTATTATTATATTTTTGTAGTTGAAGAATCTCAAATTCATATATTAGAAATGATTTCAGAAATGCGTCTAGAAGTGCCGAAGAATTATTGTAAGCAAATGTATATTAAGCTAATTGAATGTTGTAAGCCCTTTCAGGGTACGTTCCTGTATTGTCAATTAAATATATAGTATTTTTTCGCGTATCTTGTGTGTACTTTATTCAAACTTAAATAACTTATACTAACTAAAAGTTACTAAATAAATGTTTAGAGATTTTATTTCTGAAAATAAATATTTTGAGATATTCCATTGCAAATGTAAAATTACAATTTATAGCATTATATGTATTTAGCAGTGTATTTACATAATCAGTTGCAGAATCTTGTATAAATCATGTATCTAAATCAAAAATTTCCATAATATTCTAAGAATCACAGCTAATAAGAGCATCATAAACGTCACTATTCCATATTTCGATGGTTTTTCGTAGGGTAATCTGCAAACACCTTGCGATAGAGGAGACCTCAGTGCCGGAGACACACCTTTACCGACCGATTCTCCTTTCATAGAGAACTTTGTCGCTTCTATAATCCTTACGTCAATCATTTTTCCCATATACTCCTGCTTCAGCGGAATCAACACCTGTTCGTAGAATTTGTTATGGCCCACGTAATGCAGCTTATCATGCGATACCTCCGTTACTAATACCTTTTGTATCAGTCCCACTTTGTGTCCGTATGGTTCGTACGACTGGAAGAATTCCGACAATCTCTTGGTTCTAGTTTTCACCTTTTGCGCAAGTATTTTCGGCATCCTAGCGGCAGGCGTGCCTGGTCGAGAGAAGAACTGATTGATAAAGAGGCTTGGGAACTTGTACTTTTGACAGAGTGTCATTGTCTCTTCGAAATCCATCTCCGTTTCCGTGGGGAAACCGCAAATAATGTCTGTGGCAATAGTCAAACCAGACACTCGCTCGCTCAGAAAGTTTACTACATGCTCGAATTCGGCACATGTATACTCCCGCTTCATGTCAGCTAATACCTGATCACTACCGGACTGTACCGGAATATGTAGGAAGCTATAGACTTTAGGATGCCTTAGAATTTTAGCCATTTCATCGAGATGTTCCAAGATATAGGGTGGATTGGTCATACCGACGCGCATCATGCAACCGTCAGGAATCACATCTACCAATTGCCACAGTAGTTTTGGCAAGCTAGTGCCAATATCCCTACCATAGGCACCTGTATCTTCTGATGTAAGCCATAATTCACATACACCCTCCTCGAAAGCTTGCTTGGCTCGTTCAACTATCTCTTCTGGAGGATAACTACCTAGTTCACCTCGTGCATGTTTTGTTTTGCAGTAGGTGCATTGATTTAAGCAGCCTGTGTTAATGGCTATAATCTCGATAAGCGGATTCCGGCGTACCTTTGGAAGATTCAGTGAAGCCCCACCTGTCTTCTTACCAAGATTCTTCTTCTGCTGTAAGAATCTGACTGTATTTCCTTTCAAAGTTTCTTCTACAACTTCTACTACTCGATCAATTTGTTGTACTCCAATTACACTCAATCCTTGAAGGAAGGAAGATTTTGGAGCACCTTGTGATACACATCTATAAGATACAAATAAAATGTTTAGAATCTTAAGACAGCTCTAGATAATTTTTTAAATTAGAAAGTTCAATTGTACTGCTAAAA